ACAAAGTAAATTGAAAATCTTCTAGAAAGATTCTCCATTCTAGATGCCATCATTAAGAATATTCATGATTCATGGGAGGAGGTCAAAATGTCAACATTAACAGGAGTTTAGAAGTTAATTCCAACACTCATGGAAAACTTTGAGCAGTCCAAGAATTTAGTGGAGAAAGTCACTGCAGATGTGATGGAAATAGCAAGAGAACTCGAATTAAGTAGAGCCTGAAGATAGGACTGAGTTGCTGCAATCTCATGATAAAGCTTTAACCAACGCAGAGTTGCTTCTTATGCATGAGCAGAGAAAGTGGTTTCTTTTCTTTTTTTTTTTCCTTTTTGTCTCTTTTTTTACTGACCGGTAACGGGATCACAACCCTCGGTGTCGCGCCCGTACCGGGGACCAGCAACGGGATCGCAACCCTCGATGTTGCACCCACACCGCGCTCAGCCAGTGAGCGGGAACCGGTCTCCACATGGGATCCGAACCCTCGGTGTGAGCGCCGCCGTGCTCCCAAGTGGCGCACTCTCCAGTGCGCCACTGGGCCCGCCCCAGAAAGTGGTTTCTTGAGATGGAAACTACCACTGGTGAAGCTGCTGTGAACATTGTTGAAATGACAACCAAGGATTTAGAATATTACATAAACTCGGTCAATAAAGCAGTGACAGGGTTTGAGAGGACTGACTCCAATTTTGAAAGAAGTTCTGCTGTGGGTAAAATGCTATCAAACAGTATCACATGCTACAGAGAAATCTTTCATGAAAGGTAGAGTCAATCAAAGCGGCAAACTTCACTGTTATTTTAACAAGTTGTCACAGCCACTCCAACCTTTAGCACTCACCACCCTGACCAGTCAGCAGCCATCAACATTGAGGAAAGACCCTCTACCAGCAAAAAGATTATGACTTGCTGCAGGCTCAGATGGTTGTTAGCATTTTTTACCAATAAAATATTTTAAATTAAGGTATGTGCTTTTTTATAGACATAATACTATGGCACACTTAATAGACTATAGTATAGTGTAAACATAACTTTTATATGCTCTGGGAAACAAAAAAATTTGTGTCTTTCTTGCAATATTTGCTTTATTGCAGTGGGTTGGAACCAAACCCACAAAATCTCTGAGGTATGCCTGTATTCATTTCCATTTTACTGATGGGGAAACTGAGGCACAAAGAGCCAACGTGTGACTTGTTCACAGTCATGTGAAGTGACAGAGATGAAATCTGAGTCTGGGCAGGCAGACTGCGAGTCGGGACACTATTCCGTTGTGCTGTCTGCCCTGCTACAACTGAAGTCGTGAGGAAGGGGCCTCTCGCATGGCTGCCCTCCCCACTTACCTGTGAGGCTCGCTCTCTCCTGCACCTGTCTGCCAGCTGCCACCGCTTCCTCACCTCTAGACTCTCCAGACTCTAGGGACTTCGCTCCTCCTCCCAAAGTCACTTCATTAAAATTGGTGAAGAGGAGCAAAGGCTGCTCAGGATCAGAGGCCCCAGTGTGGTCAGCCCGTGCCACCCTCATGTTCCCAAGTCCCCAAGGCTGAGCTGCCGAAGGCCCCAGCTCCTGTCCGTCCACTCAGCTGCATGGACAGGGAGGTACCGGGCCCCACTGCCTGACATCTGAGCCCCACAAAGAACCAACCACATAAGCTTTGGGGTGTCCCTGCGTAGGGTGCCACATAAAATGCAAGGGGTCCAGTTCAATTTCAGGTAAACATAATTGTTTAGAATAAGCACATCCCAGGGAGATGGAGGAGAAAGACGGAGCAAGACCAGCACTGGACTGAGCACTCAGGCTGAAGACAGAGTTTTAAACCTGAAATGACCGAGAGATATTGGATTTGCAAGGTTGCCATTGGCCATCAGTGGACATAAAGGCTTAAGGGCCAAAGTCTGGTGAGAGAAAAACAGAAAGTTGTGTCATCGAACCGAGGAGTCTCAGGGCGACGTGAGGTGCGTTCCATACGCGTGCTACGGAGCCGGGGACCTAGGCCGGGGGGCGTAGTGAAGACTGAAAATTTCAATGAGTGCGGACCAGGGCCACCTACCTAATTGTGGGCTCCAGTGCAAAATGAAGATATGAGGCCTCTTGTTCAAATTTATTGAGAATTTCAAGACAGCAGCAACAGAGCATTAAACCAAGTCGAGAGCTCGTCTGAGTGTGGACCCCTGTGTGACAACGTGGGTCATGCTGGTGCAGTTTCAAATTGCTGCTGTTTAGCAAGGAGTGGACTCAGCAAACAGGAGGGTGGTTCTCACTCTGCTTGGGGCAAGCCCCTGGGTGAACCTCACTGTTTGGACTTGGAGTTGAGGGTAAGTCTGCCCTTGAGCTCTCATCTTATGACTTCAGGAAGGAATTCACTCCCTGGCTCGGTCATGGCCACTGTCCAGGGACAGATGCTCAGGGTTTCTATGTTTCCACGTCAGCCTCCCTGCAGCTGGATTTTTGGGAGCTTTGGCCTAGGGAGGAAGAGGGGCGGTGTCTTTTCCTTTTGGATAGAGATTCAATTTCTGGAGCTGGCAGAGAAACCAAGCGGACAGCAGGCAGGGCCACGGCAAGAGGCCACGACTCCAGCTTCCCTAGGGAGCAGGGCAGACCCCCTAGGGATGAAGGCAGAAGACAGGCCAACTTTCCCTTCCGCCCACTGGAAGACACCAGAGTGAGACCGGAGGGAAAGCCGAGGAGGGAGTGTCAGGTTGCAACTTGGCAAGACCGAGGCCCTTCTTCCTGTGGCATTCCTGGAAAGCTTGCCTCAGGCCCTACGTGCCACACATTCCCCGGCTGCCTGGTTGCTGAGCCTGGTGGGGACATGGAGGCTCTGATTACCGGGCCAGCCAATGCCAGCTGTGAGGGCGCCTTAGCCTCCAGGCCAGACTGCAGACAGTTGGGACACAGGAACAGGAGAGAGAAACAGGGTCTTAAACTCTCCAATTCTTAGTGACTCTCTGTCTGGAGAATGGGACGGGCGGGGCACATGTGAGCATCGGATGGAATAAACTGTGTCGTGTCCCCAGCAGCGTGTGAGTACGGCCCATGAAAGTGCCCCGTGTCACTTAAATATTAATTATTATCATTAATGTTTTTCTCCTGGGACAAAGTTCTGCATAAACCATTTACTATTAATCATCATTAATTATTATTACTAATGTTTTCTTTCCTTGGACAAAAACCTGTGTCTCCTGATCCTGTTGTATTCACCTTGGTACCTTCCACACCTACAGCAACTGGCTCAATTACCACTCAATAAACGTTAATTTTTTTAAACGTTGATTGAAAAACATCTCAGTGAAATGCACCACTGAAAATGGGGGTATACTCATAAAGTAAAAGGGATCGTGTTAAGCTATATTGCTTTTTTAAAAAGATGATTAAAGTAGCAGCTTAAAATTACCACGAAACCCTGGCTTTTTTCTCTTTTCAACAACTGGACCATGACTAAAAATAAAACCTCACCAAACGCCAATGCTTGGGATTCAATTTTTATTTGACTTCTCTGTTTAAAAAATATGTTCCCTTTGGTTAAGTAGAAGTTTGCTTTGTTTTATCTAACTAAGCGTTAACAGACACCAGCCGGTTTTCTGGAAAGGGCCCAGAACTCAGAGGTGTGGGTGGACACTAGTTCTCGTTCGTTCCGAGCTGGAGAGCCCCCAGACAAGCCCTGAGAGACAGGCGTTTAATGTGACCTGAAATCTCCAGCCTCCACCATTTAGTGGTTTGGCCACTTTATGGTCACATGGTCTTGGAACGTTCCTTTCTCCATGTGGTCTTTGCTCCTTGTCAATAACGGTGTGAAACAATTGTAAAAGATAAATGAAAAGCTGTGGGGGCAAGTAGTTAGAAAACTAGAGAACATCATAGAAATATCAATCATGATGCACTTAATATTTATCTTATATGTATTTTTCATCTGCAGAGACTCCTAGGAAGGGAAAGACGGGCAAGGTTCAGCAGGTTTTATACCTTCTATGCTCCTCCCAAAGGGCTACATCTCCCATTACAAAAGAGAAATTTCATTTTCTGAATGCTTTCCCATTTTATTCACTTAATTTAATTTGCAGGACTGGTCCCTTGATGTGCCTTAGGAAGGTGCAGAAACTGAAACCCAGGTTCTGCAGGTTCTTACTTCAGCTTAAGTGCGTTGCTTGAGATCACACAAGAGGTTTGCAAAAACAAATCAATGTAAAGATGCCCTTCATCCGCTGGCCCCATGTGCAGTGGTTCTCAACTGAGGGACATTTTTGTTCCCAAGAGGACATTTGACAATGTCTGGAGATGGTTATGATTGCCACTGCTTGGGATGGTGAAGAGGGTGTGACTGGCCTCCAGTGGGTAGAGGCCAGGGCTGCTGCTAAACATCCTACAGTACACAGGACAGCCCCAACAAAACAGAACTATCCAAACTGTCAACAGTGCTGAGGTTTAGAAACCCTGTGCTACAGCAACTGAGAAAGTAGTTGGGTGGGGAGTGTCTCTAACCCCATGTTGTGTGTGGGTGGGTGTGTTGTGTGTGTGTGTGTGTGTGTGTGTGTGTTCCAAAGAGAAATACTAGATCAGAGGCCTGAAGGGAGCCTCAGAGGTATGCTAGGCCCCCACTACTCAAAACATCATCTGGACCAGCAATAGCTGGGAGCATGCTGGAAATACAGACTCTCAGGTGCACCCCAGACTTAGGCTTTCTGAGTCAGAGCCTGCCTTTTAACAAGGTCCCAGGTGATTCAGGTGCTCATTAAAGTTTGCGAGGACCGGTCTGCTTCATTCCAGGCTGGACAACCCCAAACCAGCACTGGGAGACGGGCATTTAACTTGGCTTTACATCTCCCCAGGAGCCTGTGCCCCAATCCTCCTGGCCCACATCAGGGCTTCAGGACTGACAGCCTCCCTTGCATCTGACCTGTAACCCCTTCCTTTGATGCTCACGTGAGTCCTAGTGGTTGGGGAAGGAAGAGTACATCTGAGCCAGTTTATTACAACCTTTCCCATTTTCCTTGCTGCCCTGTCCCCGGCCCCAGGCCTACATCCTGTTGGGACAGTTCCTTCTGATGCACAAGAATGAATCCGAGTTCCAGAAGTGGATGATTCGCTGCTGTGGCGCCACCGACTATGAGGCCCGGGAGAGTTCCAACTGTCTGAAGGAGTGGTGCGCCTGCTTCCTGTAGACACCATCTCACTGCTCCACCCTGGGCAAATGACACCTTCTCTGCTTGCACCCAGGCTCCAAGTTGTGATTTGTGTTTTTAACTTTAACAATGCACCTGCATCATATAAAAGTAGCTCCAGAATACCAAAAAGGCTGCACACAAGAAAAATTATCCCCAAACCCACTACCCAGAAACTGCATATCTACCTTAGATGAATATCATGCCAAATATCTCTCAGCAAAAATTTGTATACAAAAATGGATATTTTTATGTAAGAACAGGAATTAAATTTTGTCACTGTATCAGTGATCTGTTGCTGCATAACAAATTATCCTAACATGTAGCAGCTTAAAACAACAAACAATATTATCTCACATAGTTTCTGAGGGTCAGGAATCAGAGTTGCTTGGCTGGCTGGTTCTGGCTCAGGGTCTCTCATGAGGTAACAAGTTGTCAGCCGGGCTGCAGTCATCTGAAGGCTGGCGGCCCCTCACATGGCTGTTGGCCGGCAACCTCAGTTCCCCACCACAGGAGACTCTCCTTAGGGGTGTTCGTGGCAAGGCATCTGGCTTCCCCCAAAGCTGGTGATCTGAGAGAGGTCTCTGGTGTTTGGGACAGTTTGCTATGTAGCCATATCTAACCGATACATTCTTTGTGGTCTAAAATGTCATTACCCTGCCAAGGTGTGCCACAGTGAAGTCCAACCCAACTTTCAGATGGAGAAGCAGCCCAGGGTGGTGAAAAAGTTGCTTCAGGAGCCAGCCAGGCATGGGTGTGAATTCCAGCTCTACCAGTCACCACCTTATCCTGGGCGAACTACTGAACCTCGCTGAGCCTTGGTTTCCTCATCTGTGAAATGGGGAGAGAGGGTAATAACCGTGCCTTGCAGGTAGGTAGATGAAAAAAGTCCATGTAAAGTACGTGATGAAGTAGGACCAGGATAAATCCCTGCCCCCGCTCTTATCACTTTCCTTGGAACCCTGGCCCCCTGGGCACTTGGTCCCTTCACAGCACTTGGGAGAGAATTCGCAGCTGCAAGTTGGAAGAGAGCCCAGATATCAGCTTATCCCAATCTAGTCCAGTTCTGTCCCAACACATGAGTACTGGACACTGTATGACTGTTAGGAGAACCTATACACTCTTTAATGAGTGGGTAAGAAAGGACAACAGCTCAAAGCCTAATTATTTCAGATTTTGACCATGATCTTGTGGGGTTACTTTAGTTCACTGATCCCCAAAGGCATTTTAAAGGATGTGCAAGAAAGAGGAGCAGGCTTGCAAATATGACCTCAGCCCGGCCAATGGTGCACGTTCTACTGGGCAGGGCAGTTGTTTCAATGACTTGGGAAAGGGTTGGTGCCTGGGAACATTTATCAATTGTCATGAATTTGACCAGCATCTTAAACAGGAGCTGAAATGTCTGCAAAGAAGAGGGGTTGGACCCCTCCTCCTAGCCTGATATCTGTAGTTTGGAGGTGTCTGTGAATCAATAAATGATTTCAATTCATATTTTTGGAGTGTCTAAGGGTCTGAGTGTGGTTAGGTGCTGTGGGAGAGGCAGGAGAAAGGAAGTAAGTATGTGTTTCTCTGGCCAGGAGCTTACCACTTAATAACGGGAGACTGGGAGGAGGGAGGGTCACACAGCAAAAGTGTTGGGAGGCATGACTTAGTATGGGCTCTCCCAGAAGCAGACCCTGAGACAAGAGTCTGAGTGAAAGTGGTTTATTCAGAGATGCTGCCCAAAATGCAGGTAGAGGAGCAGAGAGTGTGGCAGGGAGGGAAGGCCAGTAAAGGTGGCCCCTCACTGTTTATCACTGTGGGCAGCCATGCTCGATCCTGCAGGGCCATTCTGGGAACCAGTGCAGAACAAGCAGTCACCCGCCCTGGAGTAGCTCCACACCACTCAGCACTCATTTGTTGAGGCTGCTCCCACAGGAGGTTAATTCCTCAGCTCTGGAGTCTTCCGCATGGAGAACATGAACCTCACTGAGGAAGTGTTCAGGCAAAGGAATGCAGGCGCTGACAGCTGGCAGCTGGGCCAGCCCACACCCTGAAGTAATAAGGGCAAGGTGACATGGTGGGTGACATGGCCTCTGACACAGGTGCATTTTGGAGTAGGACAGGCCAGGCTTGGAAAACAGACTCCACCCCTTACCATCAGTTGCAAGACCTTTGGAAAGCCACCCTCTCCACCCAGCTGCCCAGCTATAATATGGCGATAAGAGTATCAACTCAAGGAAGATTAAATGCCTCGCACCTGATAAAAACTTCCTGTGTGGAAGCTCTGAAAACCTAGGTATTGACATGTGCAGCACTGATTATTTACTGTTATTTAAAGAAGGGAGAGGTTGTATGGACCAGCATGGTCAAGGGAGGCTCCTAGTGGGAGGTGACATTTGAGTTTGGTGTGAAAGGGGAGGTCAGGGTGGAAGAAGCTGAGGACGGGGAAGACGGAGGGAGACAAGAAGGTGGAGAGAGATGTGAGGGGGAGACAAATCTGAGTGGCCTAGGCAGAGTGAGCTGTGGGAACCTGTAGGAACAGGTACGGGGTGGGGCCGGATTCTGTAGCACCAAGAGGCTTCCTCCAATTTCCTTGAAACAGAAGCTCTGTGTGAGCTGGTAGCAGGCCCAGTTTAAGAAGCCAGTCACTGCAGGGTCTTGGGCCGGCCCGGTGGCGCACTGCGCTAGTGCGCCGCTTGGGAAGCGCGGTGGCGCTCCCGCCGAGGGTTCGGATCCCACATACAGACCGGTTCCCGCTCACTGGCTGAGCGAGGCGCAGGGGCAAAACCGAGGGTTGCGATCCCGTTGCCGGTCCCGGTCCGGTACGGGGGCGACACTGAGGGTTGCGATCTGTTGCCGGACATGGAAAAAGACAAAAAAAAAAAAAAGAAGAAGCCAGTCACTGCAGGGTCTCAATTCTGAGGAAGGTCAGTGCTCTGCAACTGTCAGTGGGGACAGGGATCCCATCTACATGGATAACCCAGAATATGGCAGCTCTGCTGCCCACTTCTGAGAAAGATCCTGTAGTCACTGATTCTAAAAATGCCCACGATCTTTCACTCCTCCTTGTTCCCACACCCTTTACATGACTTTGCAGATCCTCCAGCCAAAAAGCAGAGTCTGACTCCCCACCTGTTGAATCTGGACTACCCTTGCAACTTGCTCTGGTCAAAAGAATATGGCAGTGTGACACCATGACAGTTGTGTGCCTAGGCTTCTGCTCACACTCCTGCACCCCTGTGGTCATCCTATGAACAAGCCTGGGCCAGCTGACTGAAGGATGAGAGACACATGGCCCAGTTGTCTCCACTGCCTTGGCCAACAGCCAGCCAATCTCCAGACGCAGGAGAGTGAGGCCATCCTAGACCAGCCGGCTCATCAACTGACCTCAGATCCATGGGAGAGTCCAGCTAAGATCAGCCATGCCCAGCCCAGACAGAAACCACTCACCTAATGCACACACTCGTGCAAATAAGTCAATGTTTTAAGCTACTACATTGAGGGGGTGGTCTGTCATGCAGCTGTAGGTAACTGATACAATTCCCAGGTGAGTCCTCTACGTCTGGGGTATCTCCTGGCGTAAGATGGGAACCTCTGCTTTATTTGTCATCTAGAGAACACCCTGAGTGACACCAGGTACATGGTGATAATGGGAGGGATCATCAGCTCCTATGCAAAAAACAAGCAAGTGGGGGGTGGGAGGTGGAGTGAGGAAAATAGTGGAACCTAAGCTTGAACAGACTGGTTTTTAAAAAGCACAACCCAGAGCGGAAGGAGGTAGAACAAAACTACTACTGAATCTCAGAGGGCGAGCACAAGAGTTATTAACTGCATGACTGGCTGTGGGTGGCCTGGGGTGATTTATCCCCAGAAACCTCTGAAAGAAAGCTGACTCATGAAGATAAACCTTATAGCAAGTGTTTCTGGAAATACATATGATTTTTAAGTGTTTGCTTCTTTAAAGGATTATGAGCAGAAACACGAAGGGTTTATTCGGCACACGCTATACCAAGTACCTTACTAACATCCCCCAACCCTCCCAGAGCTAAGGTGGGGTTTCTCTGTCTCACAGATGGGGAAACTGAGGACCAAAGAGGTTAAGAAACATGGCCAGGATGACTTGGCTAGTCACTTCAGTCCAGGTCTGTGCCCACTGCCTGCAGAGCTCCCTTGGTGGTGGGGAGCATATTTGGTGATGTAGAGATGCTCTCAGGGACAGGCAGGCATTAGAAGGGATGAGGAATATGCATTTGAATGGTCGTGGAAAGATGACCATGATGTGTTAAGGGGGAAAGCAAGTTACTGAAAAAGAATCACTGGACAAGTGTTTACTGAGCATCTATGTGCCAGGCACAGTCCTAGGTGCAGCAGGGAACAGAACAGACAAAACTCTCTTCCTTCAGGAGCTGACATTCTAATGGGAGGAGGCAGAAAACAAAAGTTCATAAGTAAAATATATATTAATTTTTCCAACATCTTAGGGTGGAATGTGGCCAAATATAGACAATTTTATACAGTTCAACCTAACAGTATGTTAGTTTCACAATGAGTGCTCTGAGGAAAATAAAGCAGGGAAAGGGGTCGACAGGCTCAGGTAGACATGGAATTTTAAATAGGATAGCCAGGGAAGGCCTCACTGCAGAGGCTAAGTAAAGTTTGGGAAAAGGTGGGGCTGAGAGCCCTGGGATAGCTGAGAGAAGATCATTCCAGGCAGAGGAAATAGCCAGTGCAAAGGCCCTGCTGTGGAATTGTACCTGATGAGTGCAAGTAGTAGAGTGAACAAGGTGGAGAGAAAATGGGTGGGGTCAGGTTGTGTTGGGCCTTGCAGGTCATCAACAGGACTTTGGCTTTTAGTTGGACTGAGATGGAAGTCCACAGGAGGGCCACGTGATCAGATCTTCTTAGACCAGCATGAGGGGCTACTGCAGCCAGGGCGCAGTGCAGAGATTTAGATGACCTGGATAATGCCACTAAGTGGGTCTGTGACCACAAAGAAATCACCTGATTTGTCTGAGTCT